AAATGGTTTTTCTTTTTTTTTTTTTTTTTTTCAAAATTATCAACGATTAAGAAGAATCAAACAAATAAGAAGGAAATAAGTATTTTTTGACTTACTGCCTCAGCATCGGCCTCTGCCTCTGCCTCTGGTGCCGGTTCTGGTTCAGGGGCCGCATAGATCAAAGAAATGTATACAACCATAAAAACAAGGGCAACGTTGAGTAAGAATTTCATGATTTCTCACGATCACTTCCTTCCTTCCTTGCGATTAATTCCTCGATGCCGATGGCTTCTTCCGCTTGAAGAAACTACTCGTTCTTTCGTTATTTATACCAGGCGAAAATCGTTAAAATTATCGACGAGGCGATATTATTCTTTTTTTTCTTTTTTTACAATTTCCGTCGAAGCATTAGGTATTAAAAAAAAAAGGTTAAGATTATGCAAATTGTGAATAAAGATTTCGAGAGGAGATAAAGATAGATAATATTTGAAAAAATTTTCGCGTGAAAATTTTTACGTGAAAATTATCCAATCAACAATTTATATTCATATATTGTCAAAATTAACGAAGATTAATGAAATTTTCTGTGCGTATGATTATATGTATAAAACATAATTTTTTTTTTCTTTTTTCTTTTTTGACGGACTTCATCACTTTACAAAATCAATCTTTTTTTGCTTCTCGAATGTAATTTCGTAATAGGACAGGGAACAATTTTGAATCTAATTGAAAATACTCTATTTCTATATATATAAACGTTCTAAATATTTTTTGCAACCGTTGAAAGTAGGAAGAGGCACAATTCCGAGAACGATTCCGTTTCCTTCAAGAAAAATCATACATCCGCCCAATCCAATGACGAGGCAAAATTGAATAGTTGAAATTACGAATAAAATTACTCCCGATAAATTAGTTCGATAATTTATTCGTTAAAGGGATAATAATAATAATAATTCCAAATAATCAATACTGCCAAACGGCAGAGATCATATGAAAAGCGGGATCGATTGGTAACAGCTACGAATAAATCTTATTTTAATAAGCGATTACACTTATTACACTTTATTCGAGATTTTTAACTAGTTACTTACTAGTTAGTTTTCAGTTAAATTTTTACTAGTTACTTATTTATCAAACGAGTTTGTAAAATTGCGCCAAACTCCGGCCCAATCGAATTCAACTAGTTCCGAATGCACGCGTATACGTATACGGATTGCGTGCATATATGCGCGCGAGAACGCTCACTTACACGTGTTATGCACGTGTACGCAACATGGCGGCCGCTCGTTGACGCCGAGTCGCTACGAATCTCGCGCGGTCGGAGAAATCGAGAATCTGGAACTCTGGCGAGAGTAAGAACCGCGCGCTATTCCCCGGATATCCGTTCGAAGCTACGAGGAACCGAAACTCGTTCGAAGCCAGTTCACCCACGACATTGAAAGTTACGAGCGGGGAGAAATCTGCCCCGTTTTGCCCCGATCCG